GTTTTGAAATAGATCAGTGTTTCATAGACACAGGCAGAAGGAGGGGTGTGGGTAGTTTGAGTGATGTGTGGGGAGGAGTAGGGGCTGGCCAACCTGCCATGGTGAGGACTTCCCTCTCATGATTCACCTGCCGCAGTGAAGCAAACCTGAGGTGTCTGTGGACTGCTGTCTCTCAATATGCCTGATTTCAAATGTCTTTTTTTTCCCACAGAAAAAGTAAGAAATAGATATAATTACAAATTCCCGCCATACTAAAGTGTATAGAATGAAAAGTCTCCCTCCCATTCCAAGATCCCAGTCCCCTTCCCCAGAAGCAATCACTCTTACCAGGCTGTATGCATCTTCCCAGAAAGATCAGAGATTTATTTTAGAAATGTTCTCTTTTTTTCCTTTTGGGTTAGTTTGAATCTTAACTCTAATGACTCCTTTTTTATGACCTCGAGTTTAACTATACACAAAGTAAAGAATATAGTATAATAAAATTCCATGTTCCCATCACCCATCCTAAAATTTTTCAATACTTGGCCAATGTTATTTCAACTAACCTTGTTACTATAATTTTCTGGTGAGGAAAAATCTCAGAAATCATGACATTTCATTTATAAATATTTCTCTATGCATCTATAACTGATAAAGAGTTTTTTAGAAATCATACTATGCTATTACCATGCCTAACAATGATAACAAAGTCCTTAGTATCATCTGGTCTCCACTGACTGATTTTGAATCTTACTGACCCTACAAACAGCACGCAACTTGCCCTGCCTGGATTTCTAACATGCTTAGCCTGAGAAGCGCAGAGAGTTGGAAACTCAGGCCACAGTAGCCTGAAGCTTGTCCATCCTCCCCCTGGCTCTTCTGTCTCAGGGCAGAGGCTCTCTGTTCAAATATTCTTTTGGAGCAGTACAACTTTCCAAGCAACTTCCAAGCAATGCGAATCTGGAGAGAGGTATTCTCTAGAGGTGGCTCTGTTCCTTGACTGCTGGGTGGCACTGGGAAAGCTGCCTCTGTACCCAGTCAGGAAAATGGAACATATAACTTTGGTCCTAAGGAGTTAAGTGAGTATTTGACAGCCAAGAATTGTAGTCATATTTCTGCTCTGCTCAGAGATCGTATCAAACATGCATGGGCTACTGTGCCACAGCTAGCAGAATTTTCATGTTGGTGAAGGTGGGTTATGTGTACATCTGATTTCTTCACGTTGCTAATAGCTGTTTGGTGCTCTCCAGGTGTTTCTTTCATGAGCTTGTTAATCTGATTATTTTGCCTTACACTCTACCCTTCACTCTATCAGAAGCCATGGGCATCTCCCCATCCCAAATATACATTCAACTCATCACTTTCCCCTATCCATCCTTGCACTGCTCCCTGAATCTTCAGGAGAGGAAGAAGAGCAGCCTCCACTTCCACCGCCCATGACCTTAGCATTCAGTTTTCTGGGCCAGAAAGACTTGGTCAAGCCAATTGGCATGAAGTTGGGTGTGGAAAGTTCTATTGACAAGTATATAGGGGATAATATATTGCTTGCTTGCCAGCTAGTCAGCCCTCAGTGCCCAGGTTAGAAAAGCAGTTAGATGAAACCACTTGCCTTCCTAAATTTGTTCTGAGAGGACATTATGTTGTGGAGGAGAAGCAAAGCTTCAGCTCCAGAAGTCCAAATGCTAGCAGGTGACCCCTGGCTTTCACTGGTACCATGTCTTCTCCGATCCCCTTTATTATTTTCTATGTGGACATAGAGAAGTGGACCACCAAACTGGGCACTTGAGCCCTTATTTAGTTTTCTAGGAGAAATTCATTGGAATTCCCTGAGTTTCAGAATTCAGTCTATATAATGGAGCAAAGAGCATACTTGCCCAGTGGCCTTTAAGAATCAGGTACTATGTTCTTTAGATTCCACGTATAAGCGAGATCATGTGATATTTGTCTTTCGCTGCCTGACTTATTTCACTTAGCATAATATTCTCCAGGTCCATCCATACTGTCCCAAAGGGTAAGAGATTCTTCTTCTTTACAGCTGTGTAGTATTCCATGGTATAGATGTCCCACAGCTTTTTTATCCACTCATCTACTGATGGGCACTTGGGCTGTTTCCAGATCTTAGCTATTGTAAACTGTGCTGCTAATATAAAGAACTTAATAAACTGATGAACAGAATAGATTCAATGACATGGAAGCATAGCTGAGACTGATGAATGTCAGAGGGATGGAGGAGGGCGGGTGGGTGGAGGGGGAGAGAGTAACCAAAGAATTTATGTGCATATATACACAACCCAAGGACATGGACAATGGTGGGGAAAGGGATTGGGGAGGGGGAAGGAACGAGGTGGAACGGGTCATTGAGGAGAAAAAGGGACATCTGTAATATTTTAAACAAGAATAAAATTAAAAAAAAAAAAGAATCAGGTACTATGGGATCACAGAACAGAGAGTGGAGGTAATATCCAAGTGTTTGGGAGTTATTTGCAAGAAGCTGCACAACCAAAGCAAGTTATGATCAAGGGGGGCCAGATCCTCTGAGTTACCTTCAGCATTGCATGAAGCAAGCTCTTTACTGGTTTCATACAATCCTGCATTGTTTCCACAGGCACAAAGTGCAGGCAGCAGGCTGCCACCAAGAAAGCTGGCAGTGCCCTCTTGAGGAATCCCTGGGCACTGCCAGGGTTCCAGCAAGGGCACTCAGCAGAACCACTGGAAGCAGAATCACAGAAATAGGTGGGGTGGGTGGATTAAAAAACCCCAAAACCTTGGAGGCCTGGAAAGAAACCTTATGAGGGCTTTGGGAAAGGATTAGGAGAGAGGTGGTTAGTGGATGCTGAGACAGAGTGTTAGGACTACAGAGTGACTGCAATACACTGGATTCTGGTGAGCTGGGAATCTTAAGGCATTGGGGACAGTGAGCAATAGAGATGGAGGAAAGGAGAAGAGAAATGTGTGTTAGGTAAACATGGTTGAAAATTTGGTATCTTTGGGTTTATTGGGAACACATCTTTTCTTCTGAGTAGTCCCCAGAGCTGCTGCTGAGAATCCAGGGACAGATTTATGAGAAGGCTGAGCCTGAGCAATCTCCCTTGCACACAGGGCTCTCATCTATCTGAGCTGTGAAAAACCATCTCCGTCATCCCTCAGTTCCTTCTGTCATCTGAAGAGCTGAGGGAACAAATTTTTGTTCTTGGTTCTCCCTCTCCTTCAGGGCCATTCTGACAAGAACCTTCCAGAAATTAATTTTTGGCACAATCCTACAATTCAGCTTCCTCAGCAGGTAGAGTGTATGGCTGGAAAGCAGGGCTGGTGAGGTCAGGTGTCCTGAGACCCTTTACCCTCAGTCATATGGCTTTTGTCTTATCTGCTCTGGAAAGCTACTTCTATACTATTCTGCAATAGGGGCAGCATTAACAGGGATCCTTTCTCCTTGGGGCTGATATAAAAGCAAAAAGGATCTAGGGTTCTAGGATTCTGAACAAGCCTCAGACACTGCAGGATACAGGACCCCGGTGGACACACAAGGTCATCTGTAGAAGACTTATCCTTTTTCTAACAGCAGAGCCCAAACCAGAAACAAGTTCAAGGTCACAGCTCAAAGAGAAAACTGTAAGACACCGTCTTGCTTCTCTCCCTCCACAGAAAGAGTCTAGACTCTGCTCAGTACCTCCTTTCTCTCCTCTACGATGCCTAGGCAAATCCATAGGAAAAATTCTGGGGGCCCATACCTTCTTTCCCTGAATCCTTCCAACAGGTACCCCTCCAGTTATATGTCAACCAGTTTCCTTACAGGCCACCCATGGGAGGATGTGGGCCTCAAGTTCAAGAGATCTATGCCTTTCTGAGGCTCCTGAAAGGATAAAGAACAATAACAAAGAGCCTAGTTAGACACTGGTTAAGATTCACCTCTTTTAGAAAACCTTCTCAGGCTAATCTCTCTTGGCACTCAAATATCTTCATAGTCTTTAGGAACAACTATTATTGGTAAGGCAGGTTTCATATATTAGTCCAAAATTTTTGCTGCTTAATCACTTTTTCTTAGTATTTCATTCTCTGAGGCAAGCACGAGATTTCCTTTGCCCTTCTCTCCACCCTCACTGGCACTCACTGATTCAACCCAACCCACACCCTCCCTGCCTTTCATCACCCTAGCCTCAGTTCTCTGATGATACTACATTCTCAGGATGGGATACTGACTACCTGATTCTCAGACCATGTTCCTGACTTTTCTCAAAGTCATTTATCCTCCTTAGAAATCACCCATATTCCTAACTCTGACCTTTTCTTTAGTCTATTTGGTGAACCTGCATAGGTCTTGCCCCCTCTCTGGGCCTCTTATCTTCTCAATAAAATTTTACAATGCTAGCCTCACCCTGCTTGGTCACAATCTGTTTGTGGAATCAACAGCTTGTATTTTGTCCTCATTTAGCTGGAGGATTTGGACGATGTTATTTTAAAAGACAAATTTTTCTTCTCTGTTGTGTTTCTGAAGCTGAGTAGGGGGGAGGGTGCTTATTTGCCAAGGAGTGGGGAGAAGAGAAACGTAGACAGGGCCAAGGGCAGCTATGAGTGAGGGTTGCAGTTGGGGCCAGAGTCGGAAGGACTCTAGAAGATCTCATCTAGGTTTTTACCTTTAACCCCTCGCCAAAGCTACCACTTCCGTGGCTTCTGACACTTGTGCTGCCACATCCTACAGCAAATAGATACAAGTATCAGTTAGAGGATTCCATGACCTCTTTTTTTTCTTTTTAAAAAAATTTTCAGCCCCAAACCACATTTCCAAATGTCTCTGCAGCAAAGTGAAATTCCACATAGGGAAGTCTTAGGGAAAAAAAGAAGAAAAAAAAAAGAAAAAAAATTGGCAGTGAAAGGCAGAAAAGAGAAGATGGAGCCCTTAGTAAAGGGAGTATTCTTGAGGAGGTGGAGACAAGGGGAGGAGAAGGGGAGGAGGAGATGGGGAGGAAAGTGGGCCTGTCCCTTTAAGGGGGTTGGCTGTCAATCAGAAAGCCCTTTTCATTGCTGGAGAAGAGGACAAAGATACTCAGAGAGAAAAAGTAAAGGAACGAAGAAGGAGACTGGAGAGACCAGGGTCCTTCCAGCTGACCATAGCCGCAAAGCAGACTAGCCAGCCAGCTACAGTTGGAGTCAGAGTCCCAAAGACATGGGTGAGTTTCAAAAACTTTAGCATGGAAGATTTAAGCAGGTACAGGAATGTACAATAGTATTTCTGACTTTGGGGTTTGGGAGTTTTCAATAGTTTAAATGAGTTGTGTTTTGGCACTTGTTTTTTTTTTTTTTGTTGTTGTTGTTGTTTTAAATTCCTTAGCACTCAATTAGATTAACTCTGTCTCTGCTGTATTGAGATTGATGCTTTATTCTCAAAAAATTTCAGCAGCATGTGGAGAGTCCCACAAGTCCTTGGAGAGAGTGCCCAGTGGGCTGGATATGGTCATGTGTCCTCCTCTCCCCTCACTTCCTTCTACCTTTTCTTTTCCCCTGGTTCCCAGGCTCTGGTAATGGCCAGATCAGCTGACATCCCTGGTTCTGCTGGAGGCAACTGATAGTCGGGTACCTGTCAGATGTACAAAATAACCCCTTGCTTGATACAAAATTTGAGCCCTGTTTAGCTATAATTGGAAATTGGAGAATGAAGCAAGATGTATTCAGGCTTGACCATGGCCAAGGAGGCCAATCTTAAGTTCAGAAAATGAAAATAAAGTCTACAATGACTTTACCATGGGGAATGGATATGAGTAGGTGTGTGTGTGTGTGTGTGTGTGTGTGTGTGTGTGCACGTGTGCATGCATGCACACATGTGTGGATGGCCATACCTAGCAAATATCATAGACTTAGACTTCCTGAGGACATAGTCCAAACTCTAAATCCCTGCTATGACAAGGAGGCTGCTGGGACTTTGGGAGTCTGGTTGACTTGGTTGAGTACTGAGGGCTTCTCCATGTTCTATGAACAAAGAGAAAAACTATGAGGTCTGGTCTGTGGTAGTGTCTACTCAGAGCAAGGTGTGCAGAGCACAAGGATCTTTGTCCACACAGGATGTCACAGAGACATGTAGACATTGTTTATGAGTGGCAAAACAAGAGTAGCAGCTTGAATGCATCCTAAATAAAATGAGAATCGATTGCCTTATGTATTCATCATCAAACATAGTATCAAGAAGACTCCAGCCACATCTAGGAAGATAGGTTTTCAACTCTATTAAGCTGGTGTCAGCTTTTAGGTTGTTTTATCCTGAAACATCAAAACAGATCTTTTCAGCACGTATTCAGGTAGGATAATTAAGAAGGCAGAACACTGAATTAGAAGTCAATACAACCAAGTTTAAATCCCAGATCTGCCACATATAAACTTCATGACCTTGGGTAGGTCATTGTGAATTATCACTTTTCTTTCTGGAAAATGGGCATCACAATAACTGTTTTGTCTGTTTTCAAGGTTGTGAAAATCAAGTAATAATGATGTGAAAGTCCTTTGAAAGTGGCCAAGCTGTATACTCATTGTAAATCATGATAATAACAATTATTGTAAAATAGTTCATGTACAGGCTGACTCTCATTTTTCTCCAAAGTGGTTGGGTTTTCTTTGTCTGCACTTTGTGCACTTGGTTAAGAATCATTTGATCAATTGAGTGTGGCCAGGTGAGAGGTGAATGTTGGAGAAACTCAATTCCTGCCCAAGGTAACATCAAAAAACCTACCTGATGTCAGGGCAGCTGTTTGGGTAGGTTGTGATTTAAAAATAGAGAGGGAGTAAAGAAGGGTGCTGAATATTACTTCCTCAGGGTATGAAAGTGTATGGGCGTTTAACAATTGTAGTAGACAAATTATATCATGAAATCTGTGGTTGGAAGGAACTTTAGAAGCTGTCTGAGCCAAATCTTAATGCAGTAGTCCCTTTTACAACAGCCAATTAAACGTTCCTACAGCCTCTTCTTATTCACCTCCAGGAACATGGAGCTAACTACCTCAACCATATAGAATCCTGTAGGATTGGACACAAAGAGGAACACTGAATTCAGTAGCATCTACACAAAAGGTTTATGGGGGAAATAATAATTCTTTAAACCTTGTCCTGACTTGGGAGGAGAGTGTTCCAAATGAGTCTTTGGGATAACAATGGAACCAGAAAAGAGCCAAAGAGCAGTAGCTGATTATTCTCTGCTCAGTAACACAATGCCATTACTGAACAGCAAAACATTGGCTCCTGTAAGCCAGTGGTTGTTATCCTGGTAACCAGACTGTGATGCTTCCTTCCAAAGGTGGCTGTTTGCTGAGCAGTATAGTTTTGGCTGGCTCAGAGTAAGTGGGTGTAGCCCAAGCAAAAAGTGTGGAGGCAGAGCAGGGGTCCAGTTATACAAAATGCCTGAAGACTAACTGAATCTCACCCTGACACCAAGAATGTTGCAAGAATGCCAGAAGCTAAAAAGAAACCAGAGGAGCTCTTAGAGCCAAGCAGAAATCCGTTCTGCTTTGAGGGGCTTTCATCCTGGCTCTGCACTAGGAAAGCCAGTTTACACAACAGCCTGCCAACTAGAACTATTCTCTCAAAGCTATCTAAGTAGTAACAAGGCCCAAGAAACCCCTGGGAGATGGGTGGGTGGGGGGAAATATAGTCTTCAAACCCATCAAGGCAGAACCCCAGTGGCATATTTTTTCTCTTGTTGCTTTTTTGTGTATTATCCTGAAGCCCAGGAAACCATCATCAGGGTATAGTTTAGTCTTGAAAGAAAGCAAGAGTAGAAAGGCCCTCCTTGCCCACAGAAATTTAGATCCAGGGAAGATCTAGTCAGGGCAGTGAAATGATCAGGAAGGATCACCGCAGCCATGGCAGGCAAACAGAGCAGCTTTTCCTTCCTTTACCACTGTCAGGGCCTACCCAGTGCCAAACTTACATCAAAAGTTCAGCAAGTACTGATGGATTAATTCCTCTTTGGCTATTTTTAAATGGTCCTAAGGGTGCTCTCTCGGCTCTGTGCTGGCCTCTAAGCTCTCTGCCAGGCTGGACTCTGAAAAAGAGTCAGAGAGATTCCAAGAAAGACAACAAAGTTCCCCAGATCAGCTTTACCATGCAATGAAGAAGAGAGGAGAAATTGGTAGGAGACTGACCTAAGGAATAAGGTATGGAAACTGTTGTCTCTTAGCTTAGTGTCAGTTGCTTCTTTTACCTTCCCATATGTGGTCAAGGTGAAGACAGTGTGTGATGGATAAAGTTTAACAATAAAGCTTCAATGTTTGGGCATAAATTGGTTGTGTGTGTGTGTGTGTTGAGAAGGATCAGGGAGTATAGGAAAGAAGGTGGTCCAGATGCTGTTGCCATGGTAATAATAATACCCATTCAAAGAGGAGGCTGAGATCCCTTTTGATTTAACTCCGTCCACATGACTTGTCTATCCAGCAGGCTTGGATTTTCATGGTCCAGTGACTGTAGGGCCCCTTTCCAGCCTTTGAATGTGGTATAAATACTGATTTCATGTAAGAAAGACAAGATTATAGGCAGGGCTTTGTCCGACCATGATAAGGCCAGAAGCAAAAGTCTTTGTCGCTGGTACCTCCCGATGATTGTTGTTTTACTCCTAGAACCCACCCACTGATCCCCATCCATCCCCCGTACCAGTCACGGCTGCTCTAGTATCTTGGCCCTGTCAACTGCTTATAGGCCCTGATCAAGGAGGCCTCTGTTCACAGGGTGAGGTTAAGGGGTGGGTTCTGGGAGGAGGGTAAGTGCAGATTAGAGACCTAGGGAGATAGGGCCAGTTTTTTACTCAATGAGTCTGCCTGTTGTTTAGCTCAGTTGTATAGGGTTCTATCTCTCCCTTTGTCAGCTGGATTCAAGGGACAGGCTGGGAATTGTGCAAGGCACAATTGGTCTCTTTCTACCATCCCTTTCTGAGGCCCTTCCTCTCCTCCCTTTGACGAGCTCCCAGATTCACACTGAATTACCATCATGGAGCTGGTCCTTGAGGCATGCCCAGGGTCATGGGAAAGGAGGGAGGGCTTGGGAGCTCTTGGTTCCTGCTTAAAAAGACAGCATCAGGGTCAACAGTCTCTTGGATGGACATGGACCTGAATAAGAGTCACAACAGTCCTGTCAATCTTTGTTAGACTCTTGTGAAGAGCATTGGTGAGAAGGGCTTGAAGTTCTATCACAGATTGATTAGACTAGTTTTGGGAGTTTGCAGATAAATCTAGCCAACACTGAATATTTCCTCTTTGCTTATATTTTGTCCACAGGACTTGGTTCTATACATTTTAATACAAGATGATAAGGTAGCTTTAGTCTTTGATTCAGACATAAGTTTGTTTTCTCCAAGACTGAAAGGTCTTTGAAGAAAGGGACTGGGCCTTATATTTCCCTTTTGTTTCTCATAGGATGTAGGTTACTGCTAATGTGCTTAATAACTGTACCGAATCTACATAAACATAAATGAAAGAAAAACACTGGGAGTGTCATTATTTTTCTCTATGACCTCTGGTCAAAGTTAGTTGGTTTAATCCAACTGAGTTGCATTGGGTAATATTATTACTATATAATTTTTTAATGCCAACTCTACTATATTGCAGACTGTACTTAGCGTGGAAAATGTGAGACTGTCTCTTGAGAGAGACAAGGAACTTCTCCAGAATCCCTCATAGCCTTCCTGAATCACACCAATACACTTGCAACCATGAAGGGTTCTGAAATGGAGAGCCTGTGGCTTAAGGCTCTTGTCCTCACATTCCCATGGACACTTCTTGGGCTGTGAAAAATGAAAGTGTACCTAATGGACCCTACTCAGAATATTTTGATGGTTAGCTACTTTGATGAAGACACAATATCTTGTATGTTCTGAGTTTTTCCCAGTTGGAACCCAAAATTTGATTTTTTTTTACTTGGACAGACTGACAGATTCTTCACTTCTGATGAACTTAAATGCCCCCAGAACAAACATTTCACTTCAATTGTGAAGAGATGGGCATCTGATGCTTATGCCAATATTGTTGAATTGTTTATAGCTAAACAGTGATAGATTTATCTCAGGCCATTTATTTCCGACTCCACACTAAAGACTCATTAAAACCTATGTCCTTCTTGTCCTTTGCTTTGAGTGGCAGTAGAGCATAAAAGAACTTGTTGAGTTATTTGAGCTCTAAGAAAATAGATGAAAAATGGATGTGAAGAGTATCAGTTGGTGACTCAGAGTTGCTCCCAAGGTTTAGCCCTCTATCACCCAGTAAGAACAATACAAAAGACACTCTCTGGCTATGTGGATGATGATCAAGGGATCAGATACACTAAAGATGATTTTCCCTCATCTTTACAACCCTGGAGTGAGTATCAGCTAAAACTTAGAGTGGAATTCTCTGGTTAGTAAGAGTTCAAGTTCCTCCATCCCTGATCACACCTGCACCACCATTTAGCCCTTCTCAGGGTGAAAAAGCTGGGACGAGTGAGTGGGCACAGGATAGTCACTAGCTAGGGTGGATGGCTCTCCTTACTCTAAACAAACAGCTCTGCTATTGTTCTCTGGGCATGACCCCCTCCCCACCCCCAGGCCTGTGGGCTCCTACAGAATACCAATGAGGATCCTGAGATCTCTGGGAAAAACAAGGCTTCTTTGTCCGGGGGAGCTATGGAGGGCTCTGTCCAAGCCCTGACCCTGTGCTAGGGAGAGAGGGAACAGTGGGGTCACTGACCTTCCCCTCCCCCCACCTCCAGGCTTCAGAGACTTTCTTTACTAGAAGAGTCTAAGAGTTTGGGGGTGGGGAAGAGTTGGATAGACAGGGAAAGAAAATGGCAGCACTGTTTATTTCCAAGCTCCTTTTCTTGACTTACAAGATATATCTAGTATCTTAACCTGTTGTGAAATTTCTGGAATGTTTCCTAAGAATAATGATAATTTCAAATGCTGTGTTTTTCTCTCTGGTATACACATACATGTGTGTGCACATTGCATGTATGCATGTGTGTGCACATGTGCACACACACATACATACACACACCATGGGCTCGCTTTGATGAGACACTCTTACCGAGCACAATTGCAAAGTTTATGCTAAGTAAATTCTGCCTTGACTTATGGCATCACAGTTACAGATTGCTTCCAATAGAGGCTAAGTTTTCTGACAACAGTACTTCAGTTCTTGAAGAAGAAATTCAGTACTGCTGCAAATGCTAACTACTTACTTTGCTTGATTTGGGCTTCCAAGTCTAATCTTTGGTGTGATATGCAAGAATTTTTGAGGAAGAGGCTCTTTGAGGACCAAGGAAGGGCTGCCATTTTAGGGGATGGTGGGTATAGGACTCACTCATTCTGTGGCTCTGAGAAGAGAGACAAATGTGTCTACCTCAACTTTCCCATGATAGAGGTAATTTGGTCCTGTTCACATTGATGCAATTCTACCATGCAAATCAACAGATGGTCAAGCACTCAAGACTAAAAAGAAACTGTACCAGTATTAAGAGGGTCAGACAAAGGACTCCTCTAGTCCCTGGTACCCTGGTATAGACAAGTGAAGTTTGTATAAAAATCCAAATCTAAAAATTAATACAGTTTATTTTCTTTTTATGAGAAGTCCCAACATGCTTTTCCAAAATAGCAGTTTTCCAGCACACTTGCTGATTATTTGTGTATGTATATATGTACAAATCATATATACATATAATATACAAAATTACAAAATAATTCAAATATATCTATATATTATATGATATATGAATAGATATATAAATTCTGTGTGTGTATTTGTATATCTATATATGCATACATATAAAGGATTCTTTTCTGAAGAGATTAACATTTTTATTTCTCCTACCTTTTGGGGATCAGGCCAAGGGGCCAAAGAGAGCCATCCTTTTCCCTTCTAGTCAATCATCTACTTGAAATTTGTTGAGTTTGACTCATGTGACACCTTAGAGCATGGGCCTAGTACTTGGGGCACAGCTGCTCTTGGAGCCTGTGGCTTCCTGTGTGCCTTTTCTGTTTCTCAGTAGGTCTGGGGATCCCAGGGACTGTTAGCACTTTAAGATACCTGTGTTTCTAAGCCCCAGTGTGTTTTTGTCATGCCAGAAACATAGTTCATGCTTTGCTGTCTTTGTATAAAGCCTCTTTGTAGCCATTTTGACAGAAGTGCAGTGTAAGACTGAAGATGGGGACATTGACTAAGCTGCAGTATAAGGTGACAAATCAGCCACGCAAAATGTTCAAAAATCATTTAGCATTTTTATTACTGGGAATAGCAATAGTAATTTTTCATTAGCATCTCCTGTCCTCTGCTAGTTCCCTCCATCCCTTTGGACTGCTCTCCACATATCTAGACTAAGAAGAATCAAGCATTCCACGCAGCACATTCACACAATGCTCAGGAATATCCAGAAGCATGCAATTTCCAAAGTTCCCCCCACCTGGAATGCTCTTCAAAGCCCAAATCTTACCTGACAAGACTGATATATCTGGACTGCACTCATCCCTTCCTGGAACTCTAAGTACATTAACCCTTTGTAACCCTTGACTGCCTGGAATTATTAGTTGAAAATATTAGGTCTACCTAACTCATTCTTCCTCAGTAAACAAGATTCCCATACAGCTGAAACTATTGTTTATGTCTTCACATCTCACATAATACCTAGCACAATGCTAGGCACATAGTGGGTACTCCATAAGAGTCGATGAATGACTAAAACAAACAAATCAGAATGATAAGACAGGAGAGAATGATTGCATAATCTCGCTGGCTTGCTACTTGAATGATTGATTATTAACATCCCTCCTCCACAAAATTCTGGGAATTAAAGGTGAGGATTTATTTTCAAGAATAGAATAAAATATGGTTCTGGGGTCAATCTCACATTCCAGAAGCCTAAGGCTCTAGACTCTCCTGTTTTGAGGCCCTGGAGTGACACTCCATCCATGTATGTGAGTGCAGGGTCTGACTGGTATGGCAGAGAGGTATGAGTGGCATGACCTTCCTATTGTATACATTCCTGATTGTTTCCTGTCCTTCTTCACCAGGTTTGTTAGAGTGCTGTGCAAGATGTCTTGTAGGGGCGCCCTTTGCCTCCCTGGTGGCCACTGGATTGTGTTTCTTTGGGGTGGCACTGTTCTGTGGCTGTGGACATGAAGCCCTCACTGGTACAGAAAAACTAATTGAGACCTATTTCTCCAAAAACTACCAGGACTATGAGTATCTCATCAATGTGTAAGTACCTGTCATCCCACACAAACTCCTATCTTTCTCTCTCTCTTCATCTTGGAGAAACAGAACTCATACTTAGTGACAAGTAGTGGATTCATGTGGCACTGGAAAGAATTCCTGAGTCTTTCTTCTGTGTGCAGATTCCACTTATGCCATATCTGAACCCCTAAATAAGGGGAAAGTGCCAAGTTCAGAAAGGAGGGGTCTGCCTGCCTGCTAGCCCACTCCTTAGCCATTGTTTTTTTCCATGCATTCTAACTTTTGCTCAGTAGGGTTAACATTGAGTTGGAGCCTCCGAAGTGGTAGGTATAGAGAACTCGGGGAGGCATAATGACTGGACAGAGTAGGGCCACTGTTCTGGGTTTGACACACCACTTCAGGATGCTCAGGCCCAGTACTAGCTTCCCATATTCCTAGAGCAAGTTAGACTCCTGTTTCCTCATCATTTTTCTTGTCCAGCTCCTCTCTCCTCTGAGGGAACATCTCTGAAAGGTCAGGAAAAGGAGAGTAGGGCTCTGGTTGTTCAGGTCACAGGGTAAACAAGGTGTGGATCGAGGAGCATGTGCCTCTGGCCATACACTCCCTATCTTCCTTTTTTCCTTTTTAAAAAATATATCTTTATTGATTTCAGAGAGAGGAAAGGAGAGGGAGAGAGAGAGATAGAAACATCAATGATGAGAGAGTCATTGATTGGTTGCCTCCCGCACGCCCTGGACTGGGGATTGAGCCTGCAACCTGGACATGTACCCTGACCGGGAATTGAACCCCAATCGCCTGGATCCTAGGTTGATGCTCAACCGCTGAGCCACGCCCGGCCGGGCTCCCTATCTTCCTTTTACTTCAATTCAGATAAAGTGGAAGTATGGAAATGGAGCTTAGTCATCCCTCTAAAGACTCCCTAACCTTGTTTAAGTGCCCCCTCAAGAGTCCACCTCATTTATGCAGGAAGGGAACTGGTACCTCAATTAATAAGATTCTCTGGTCTCATTTGTCTGTCTGTTAATGCAGGATCCATGCCTTCCAGTATGTCATCTATGGAACTGCCTCTTTCTTCTTCCTTTATGGGGCCCTCCTGCTGGCTGAGGGCTTCTACACCACGGGTGCAGTCAGGCAGATCTTTGGCGACTACAAGACCACCATCTGCGGCAAGGGCCTGAGCGCAACGGTAACAGGGGGCCAGAAGGGGAGGGGTTCCAGAGGCCAACATCAAGCTCATTCTTTGGAGCGGGTGTGTCATTGTTTGGGAAAATGGCTAGGACATCCCGACAAGGTGATCATCCTCAGGATTTTGTGGCAATAACAGGGGGTGGGGGACAATTGGGCGTGAGTCTGTGGCCTCACCCTCATCCAAGGCTGGGTCCTCTCCAGGTGCCTGGCCTTTTAGTGAGGAAGTGATGGCTACAGCCGAACGAGGTCAGGAAGAACGTGGTGCCCAGCTGGCTTAGCTTCACCTTTGAAAAGTTCCCTAGAAAAATTAATCTCAAAATGAAAAGCATGACTTTTGTAAGATGCTTTGTACGATCAGACCATTCCTAAGCCATCTGTTGGTATCCCTTTACTCCTCTCATAGGAGGGACCACAGCAAGAGTAGATCTGACTGCCCAAGAGTCTAAAATGCTACCCATGAGACTAAAACATAGGTAGCTAATCTGAGAGGGAGGGTGGATCATGGAAATTAAATAATTGACTCCAAGGTGGAATTCACAATATTCTGGGATCTTACACTGTTGGAGATCCCTTAGGGAACTAGGATAAATCTACATATTTAACAATTCATCTTTGGCTGTGGGCTATCCCATGCTTCTATTGAAACACACATTGGTTTTCAGCCTCTAGAGTTAAAGATTCCTTTGGGGGCTAAACATCTGTGGGTTGTGGTGATATCTTTTGTGGTCAGCAGTTGGCTTAGAAAAGTTTGCGTGTTTTTTTAAATCTGAAATTTAAATCTCCTATTGGCTTTGTTCAATGACTAGGGATCAAAAGTTCTGTGATAAGAACATTTTCTAAGCTCAGCCTAAGGCAAGAAATGGCACGACATTCTTTCAAGATCTATTTTGATTTCTTTACACCTTATCTGCCCAACAAATCTCCTGAAGCCTCTCTAACCCAGGGATCCTTCTCACTCCAACCCCCACCCATTCCTGTTACCCTCTGTCACACTCAGGGCTAGTTCTCTAGTAGATACTGCCAATGACATTGTCAGAGATGCCCTGCTTACTAATTTCATTTGGTGGAGATCCTTGGAATCCGATTCCATTTCTGGAACATATCACTCCAGGATCTCCCAGTTTGTGTTTCAATGTCTACAGGCTAATGCTCATTTCTAACCACACCATGTCAATTGTTTTAGTTTGTGGGCATTACCTATGCCCTGACCGTTGTGTGGCTCCTGGTGTTTGCCTGTTCTGCTGTGCCTGTGTACATTTACTTCAACACCTGGACCACCTGCCAGTCTATTGCCTCCCCCAGCAAGACCTCTGCCAGTATAGGCAGCCTCTGTGCTGATGCCAGAATGTATGGTGAGTTAGTGCATGGGTGCCTTGGTTTCTCAACCCCCTTATGGAAGCACTATTAATTTGGTTCTTTACTTAGGCCCTAAGTCTTAGGGTAAGAAGGGTGATAATTATGGGGAAAAATAAGAGGGATGCCTGGACCTTAGTTTATTATTCCCTCTCCAGTGAAACTGGAGAGATTTCTTCCTTTGGAAAGAAACTTCTCAGAAGTAGGGGGAGATTTCTTGGCTGTACACACTACTCTACCCTGTTTGACTGCTGTTCCCAACCCAGAAGCAGTACATTTCAATAACAAACACAAGATTTCACAATTGTTCAATACCACCTTCTATTTTTTGGTAAATCTTTAAAAGAGAATGCTGATTGTTAGTAGGATCCAATTTTCAGTCAGGATGATTAAAGGTAGAAGGACTCTGAAGGAAATTCTTCATGTAGCCCCACAACTCCATGAAGCTCACGTTGGTTGATTTGTGTATCTTACTTAGGTGTTCTCCCATGGAATGCTTTCCCTGGCAAGGTGTGTGGCTCTAACCTTCTGTCCATCTGCAAAACAGCTGAGGTGAGTGAGCCATTTGGGTTACATTACAGTGGAATGGCTAGTATCATACAAATTCCTACCCATGGCCTCTACTTTTAAAGACCACAGTTTTTCTTTGCTGGATTTTGAGTTGGCAGATTGTTTTCTACAAAATATTGGTTTAGTGTGCCTGAGCCAATGACCATAGATAGTAAAATATGTATGTTCCCTAGAGCTGCATAGATAGCCTTCCATTCCAAGACTTCCTCCCTTACAAGAGTAATTTGTAGCTTTAGGTATAGATAAGAACTTAATGGTGAAGTCCCCCAAATGGAAATTTTCATTCTTTTAGTTAAAAACCTTATGAAGAAAATGGATTGTGCATAGAGATATTCATGGGTTTTGCAAACTTTCAGTTTGGAACTTCTTAATCTCTAATGAGAAGTAAAAAGCAGTACATTTGAAAAAGGAAAACACTGTATAGAGACCAGATATTATATACAAATGAAGAAGAGGAATAAAAGTTATCCTGAGGAAGAAGGCAGTGAATAATTTATTTGAAAACAAAATGTTGATTTTAAATTTTGGGGTCCTGGGCACAATTGTAAGGAACCAGTTGAATAAAATATTTTATGAGTATTTCATAAGTATTCTGTGTTCTGGGTATTATGGTGTACGCTTAGGAATGGTAGGCTTACACTCATGGAGGTGACAACTTAGAGATGCAGAATTAACACACAGAAAGATATCAACACATATTCAGAAAGCTCTGTTCATGATCTATAGCAGGGCATATTTTTGCTGTTGCAAAAAACACTTCTTCCTTTTGTATTTTCTTGCAGTTCCAAATGACCTTCCACCTGTTTATTGCTGCGTTTGTGGGGGCTGCAGCCACACTGGTTTCGCTGGTGAGTTGTCTTTGGATGATCTTGGCAAATAAGTGGTCCTGTAATAGCTGGGGTCCAGCTATGCTGAAAGGCAAAAAGATAGACTCCTTCTAACTGAAATGCTGGAGAGAAGCTACTGGGAAGATACAGCAAAGTATAGAGACTGTGTACAGTTCTACTTTGGGTTGGCAAGGCATAAAAACTTCAGAAATTAGACAGGAACAAGAAAAATGGTATGAGGAAAGAGGAGGTAAGAGATTCATAGTCAAGAATGATAATACTTAGAATTTACAGAGCATGTAATATTGCCAAATGCTTTGCAGTCATACATTACAGTTAATTCTCAACACATCCTGGTCAGATCAGTGTCAAGAACAGTGAAACATTACTAAACATAATATTCTAAAGTCTGGAATTCTATATACTGTAAATATGACTCCATCTTGTCCATTCTCCAAGGGATTTAGTTATTCTCCTAAAAATACCAGAAGGACCCCCTAACAGTATGAAAACTGTTATTGCTGTAACGTGATTTTATGTCCCAAGTCCCAGTGGTGTTGTAACAGCAGTGTCAATGTAATGCATTCATTGTTCACATTAAAAACCTAGGGCAATGAAGAGTGAGGGAATTTATCTGAAGTCACTGAATAAGTGGTGAAATGTTCAAGGATAAGCTCACAGAACTCTTGGCCCCAACTACTGAGGCTTTTATAAAGTCTAGTTGTTTCTCATTTTGTAAAATAAATTGATGCACTAAGCACTGGAGGGCTGTGTTGCATGGTGTGGCTGTGTGTCTGCAGCAAGCACCCTATGATTCCAGGTCACTCAGACATGTGGGTACTATGATGGCAGATCTATGTATTATTTACTTTTCCTTTTAGGAAAAGTCAGTGCTAGGCCCAGTATAGGTGTGGAATAAATCCTTGTCGAGTTGGTTCTCTGGGCCTGTGCCATTGGAAGGAAATGATTCAGAGAGGACTTTTAGTCAAGTATATAGGAAGGACAAAAGCCTGGGACATGCTGCTTTTTATAGAACAGGGATTTTTCCTTTATTTAGCTATTATTTTATTTCATCCCTTCCTCATTCCTGAAAGGACTGGAGGAGGGAGAAAGCTTCCTTTTCTACTCTCACTCATATTCTCTCTTCTGTTCCTTACAGCTTACCTTCATGATTGCTGCCACTTACAACTTTGCTGTCCTTAAACTCATGGGCCGAGGCACCAAGTTCTGATCGCCTGTAGAAACCTCCCTTTCTCTAATAGCAAGGCTCTAACCACACAGCCTACAGTGCTGCGTCTCCCATGTTAACTCTTTGCCTTTGCCACTGACTGGCCTTCTTACTTGATGAGTGTAACAAGAAAGGAGAGTCTTGTGGTGATTGATGTCTCTCTGTGGACTCTCCACTCTTATGTACCTCTTTTAGTCATTTTGCTTCACAGCTGGTTCCTGCTAGAAATGGGAAATGCTTAAGATGGTGACTCCCCAACTACAAGTCACAAAGAAATGGAGGCTCTAATTCAACTTTCAAGCATCTCCTGAGGACCAGGGAGTGTTTTCTTCTCAAAGGGCACTTCCACTGATGGAAACAAAGTGGAAATAAAGATGCTCAGGTAGAGAGAAGGAATGTACCTGGCCCCATTACCATCTATAGGGACCAAATATATTCTCCTTGATGTGCAAAACAGAGAACTCATTCCTGTCTCCCTATTACCACTGAAGATAGAAGAAAAAATAGAGAATGCCAGTAAAACAATAAGCGCATTTGCCCAAATCTACCTATTGCAGCTGGGAGAAGGGGGTCAAAGCAAGGATCTTTCACTCATAGAAAGAGAGCACTGACCCCAATGGTGAAGGACTATTTAAGCCCTAACTCAGCCAACCTTACTTATAGCATAAGGGAGCGTAGTGTCTGTGTAGACAGAGGGGGTACCTGGCCTTACACTTCATTAGAGAAAAGAAACAGGGTTTTGTCAACATTTTCTCACCCCTTTCTCCTTGAGAACAGCTACTATGACAACCCTGTGGTTTCCAAGGAGCTGAGAATAGAGAAAAACTAACTCAGATGAAAAAAGACCGGCTTAAGGAATAGCAGTTGCTAGTGGTTAATGGTGTAAACTGAGCCAGCCCTCTGGTAGACACAGGATAGATAACTCTTTGGATAGCATGTCTTTTTTCTGTTCATTAGTTGTGTACTCTGGCCTCTGTCATATCTTCACAATGGTGCTCTTCTCATAGGGTATTTTCCATTCAGTCATTGTAGGTAATTTGAAGATCTTGATTTGTTTCAGATCGATTCACATTTCACATTTTTCAGTTTGTTTATCACTTGGTTGGGGTTATATCAGAAAGGTCTGGAGAATGATTTTTTGAATATGATTCTTTAACAAATGAAAATTGGACATTAAACATAACAAATGATAGGTAAAATTGGCTAGTTCCATACACCTACTGGAATTTTCTATAAATTATTCTGCCTTTTGCAGAAACAGATTTGGTGAATTTGAATCTCAATTTGAATAACCTATTATTTTAATCATCAGCTGATTGTTCTTTCTAGCTAGTTGGGGATGATTTGATTTAGCAATGTTACCTTGGCCTGTTAAAGAGTCAGATTTAACATACATGTTATTCTCTCCTGGTATAGATCACATAATTGAATACTCCAGCTGTCAGCTATTCAGTTGGCAAGCTTCCACAGAAAAGGAAAGGTGGAAAGATTTTGAAACCTGAATAGATCCCAGGTTTCGGTCTTCTCTTTCTTGTTTATGAACTTTGGGTTAAAGGATAAAAGGCTGATTGGTTATTATTGAAGGAAAGATTTTATGGGTATGACCGTAGGGGGCTCTTTTGTTGTAAAGAGTTGTATATTCCCCCCCCCCCCAA